GTGCCTCGTGGACTTCTTGGCTGGCCGTGAGTGCGTGTGAGTTCCGCTCGGAATGCGGCTGCGTTTCCACTGCAGCGCAGCTCAGTTCAGCTCTCCTTGTGCGCGCGTCGCCTGCGCACTCTCTCCGCTGTTTCAAAAACTCTGCGTCCTTGCGCAGCTGGTGTCAGGCAGCCTCCAAGACGCGCGACTACTCAAAATGCATCACGGGTGCATCGTTGCACACCCAGAGTGTCTTGCTCTGTGCGTTGTTCACGCCTGGCTTGGCGATGCCGAACATGATTCCTATTCCTATGCTGCTGGTTGTCTTGTCTAAAACAGGCAGCACATGACTACAGCTCACCGGAAAACGTGCGAGCATTCGGGGGCCGTTGGCTGCAGCAGCCGATGGATGGACTAGGCTTCACAGGAAGCGCACGAAACGACCCATGGGAGCGTAGCAACTACACATCCGAGTGTGGGGACTACGCCACCACGGGGCAAAAATAAAATAAATATTCCTAGCCCATGTTATAGCCTCGCTATCGCTGTCTGAGAAGCACTATTCAGCGGGCAACCAACATTCAATGAATAGTTCACCGAAAATGTACCAAAAGAATTCGAAGCATTTCGGGCTAGCAATAGTGAATTCAGCAGGCCCGGACGAAACTTTCACCCCAACCCACATCGTCAGTTAAAACGCGTCTGCGACTGCCTCGTCTTTTTGTGCTTTGTTTTCAAGTTGCTTCGCGTCGAACAACCAAAACATCAGCGGGTCTTTGCCTGGACACAGCCTCCATGACCTATCAACTGCCCACTGTCGACCCGTGGATGCTCGTAAGCACGCAGACCTGTCAAGGGAGTAAGTCAATGTCGGCGGAGTGAGCCGGAGTCTCTAAAGTTTGTTGCTGGTTGCTTGTTGTTTGTTGTTTGTTGTGTGTTGTTTGTTGTGTTGCGTGCTGTTTGGTGATTGTTGTTTGCTGTTTGTTTGTTGTGTGTTGTTTGTTGTGTGTTGTGTAAGGTTTGTTGTTTGATTGTTGTTGTTTGCTGGTTGTTGGCAGGTTGTTGTTTGCTGCTTGTTGTCTGTTGTTTGTTGTTGGTTGCTGGTTGCTGGTTGCTGGTTGCTGGCTGCTGGCTGCTGGTTGTTGGTTGTTGGCTGTTGGTTGTTCGTTGTTTGTTGTTGGCTGTTCGTTGTTGGTTGTTGGTTGTTGGTTGTTGGTTGTTGCTTGTTGTTTGTTGTTTGTTGTCTGTTGGCTGTTGTCTGTTAACTGTTGTTTGTTTGTTGTTTGTTGTTTGTTGTCTGTTGCTGTTCCTGTTGCTCGTGCTGCTGCTGTGTGTTGTTGTTGTTTGTTGTTTGCTGTGTGTCGTTGTCGTTGTCGTTGTCGTTGTCGTTGTCGTTGTCGTCGCCGCCGCCACCGTCGTTGTCGTGGTTGTGGTTGTGGTTGTTGTTGTGGTTGTGGTTGTGGTTGTGGTTGTGGTTGTGGTTGTGGTTGTTGTTGTTGTTGTTGTTGTTGTTGTTGTTGTTGTTGTTGTTGTTGTTGTTGTTGTTGTTGGTGGTGGTGGTGGTGGTGGTGGTGGTGGTGGTGGTGGTGGTGGTGATTGTTGTGTAGTGTTTGGTGTTTGTTGTTTGTTGTTTGTTGTTTGTTTGTTGGTTGTTGTTTCTTATGTTGTTGTCAGTTGAGTGTTGCTTGTTGCTTGTTGCTGGTTGCTTGTTGTTGTTTGCTTGTTGCTTGTTGATTGTTGCTTGTTGCTTGTTGATTGTTGCTTGTTGCTTGTTGCTTGGTGCTTGGTGCTTGCTGTGTGTTGTTTGTTGTTTGCTGTTTGTTGCTTGTTGCTTGTTGCGTGTTGCTTGTTGTTTGTTGTTTGTTGTGTGTTGTTGTTTGTTGATTGTTGTTTGTTGTTTGTTGTTTGTGTTTGTTGTTGCTGTTGCTGTTGCTGTTGCTGTTGCTGTTGCTGTTGCTGTTGTCGTTGTGGTTGTGGTTGTGGTTGTGGTTGTGGTTGTGGTTGTGGTTGTGGTTGTGGTTGTGGTTGTTGTTGTGGTTGTGGTTGTGGTTGTTGTTGTTGTTGCTGCTGTTGTTGCTTTCGAACGTGCAGTTGTTGTTTGTTGTGGCTCGATGCTGCTTGTTGGTGTTTGTCGCTGTTTGCTCTTGTTTGGATTTGCTTGTTGCTGCTGCTGCAGTTGTTGCTGCTGGGGGTCCTTGCAGTAATTTGCGGAGTAGATTAGCCAAGGAAGCCTACGGGTCAAGTTGCCTCATGTGCAGCTTTCTCCAAAGTGAGCTCTCAAGGCGCTTTGCATAAAAGACTAACTAGAAAGGGGTTCCGCGCGTATTTTGAGAACAAACCCTATCAGCTTCGGCTCTGGCTCACGTCGCATGGAACGAAACTGCCGCAAAGCGATGAAATCAACCTCAGTTGTTGGTTTGCAAAGAGGCTGCCTTCGTACCCTTTCTACAAGCTGGCCCCAAATAAAGCACTCTGCGACATGGAAGCCCAAAGGTTACCTGGCAGAAGGCGGTAACCAATGCAATGATGCCAACACATCCATTCTGTCACAGGTGTACCGCCTGAACCCTAGACCATACCCCGAAAGCGTATACCGCAAACAAGAGTAAATAACACGTAAATGAAGGAAACAGAAGCTCCAAGTATTTCTTAATCACATTTCTGCTTTGGGGTCTAGTCGGAGGGTCTGTGAGGGAACTCCTTGCGCTCCCGGCATTCGGCACTTTCCTTCTGATGCGCATTGAGCGTGTCTCAAAATAGGGGCCCCAAAAAGGGGGTACCCCAAAAAAAGACAAGCCCACTCCGCAAATCGATGACACGCAGTCCATATGCCATTTGCCCCGAAGGCAATATTGTGGCTCATCAGCGATGTGCATGTTTGCTCGCTCGCCCAAAGAACATAGATGATGAGAGCCTCACCATTGATGCTGAATTTATGGTGTTGAAATATCAGGCTAACACTTTAACACCAAACGGCTAACATCTTGGCTTGACGTTGCTCAGCAGCTCGCAAAGAAGTACCAGTGCAGACCGCAAGGACGTAAGGGCCAGGACAAATGTTGGACTGCTCAAACCAATCTACCAGACATGCTCAGAGAAGTGTTGCCGCTCAAAGGAGTGCATATCAAAGCAGTCTTGGCTTCAAAGTCGAACAAGTTAAGGTCACATTGCATACGCTCACTTTCCATTGTTGAACTCTTCTCTCGAGGCACATGTCTTCTAATCTAAACACTGGCCTCTGTTCCATAGGTCCAGTCAGCGTACCTACCTGTACATCTCGTTGGCAGCGCATATTCAACAATGTGCACAGCGACCTCGCCGAAGGGCACGAAGCATCCTCGTCTGCCATAAATACTGCACAAGTTGCAAGCAATTCATGAACGTCATCTGGCTGTGGGTAAAAATACGTACCCAAAATGGAACCCTGGTAAATGGATACATGGACTAAAACCAGCGGTCCCCTTGGTGGCTTAATTTTGACCCATACCCATCTACGGATTAAACAACCTGGCGGACTGATAGCGAGTCTTTTTCGCCCAAAGAAAGGATCCTAAATGGGGCGGCATTCAACACCTTTTGAACTGGGGTCCTGGGTTGCCACTGAGAACGAGAACTCAAATGAACTTATCCAAATAGACTCACCAAGGATCCTTTATCAAACCTTGCTCTCCAAGCATGAATAGTAAAACTGCAAACCACACACCCGAAATTGCCCTCCTGGTGTTTTGCCTGCTGTGAGCACGGCCAAAGCCTGTGTATCTATCTTTGGTTGACATTGACGGCATCTGCCAACTCAGAAATCCTGTTGTCATGATAAGAGTCCGTCAGAGTTGGTCCCAAAAAAAGAGTGTGTCCCATTCAAACAGTCCGGAATGTGGCCAAATGATAACAGCTCCAAGCGGTATGTTGATTCTATGGGTTCTGTGCAAAATTGGATCTCGACCGGCAGGTAAGTGCAACTCACGGCATCCCTGAGTGGCATTTCTGATGATTTCAGTATCAACATACTAGGTGTACCTTGTCAACGCGGCCTTGTTCATGGCCATCAAATGTCCAATTTACGCAAAAGGGAGTTGTGAGAGAGCAGGACAAGGCATTCTAAGGAGCTGACCGATTGCTCACAATGTTTCTCCTAGGACCATCACTTAGTTTGGCTTTAGTACGGCATAACCTTCTAACTAGTTGGGCCCTTACAGTACATTTGCTAGCCAAAACTGCAAGTGGTGAACATCGATTATTGATGTTGCACTTTTACCGCACCCTGCGCGTTTTATGTTGCTTGCACTGAACACATCCGCACCTCTCAGTTCAGCCTATCCCCGGGTACGCCCAAGGTTGGAGGAATTTGAGCGTTTTCTCTCAAGGCTGAGACTCTTCGGCCGTGGAAGCACTTCCGGCCAGGAAGCTGTGGGAAACTGTGGATGGATTCTAAAACCCTTGCATTGGTTTGTAAGCTTGGAGGTGGCTGATCCCAAGAATGGGGGTTGATGCCGTCCGTGGCGGGGTCCTCCTTGGCCATCCTTCAAATAAAATGCAAAATGAAGGTATGAATTCCAGGACACCGCAACACCATTAGGCTTGTCTAAAAATACGTGAACCCCTAAATGGTGGTCGTTCCTGTGGTTGCCCTTTAGAAACACCCCCTAAAAGGTACCCACAAAAAAGCTACACTCAATCTGATTCAAGCCAAAGCTGTTTGCTTTTGTCAAGTCTGATAGGTGCCCATCTTGGTCAACCTCAGCGGCTGACTGACAGCTTCCTTCATCGCCAGGTTATTTGGGTACTGACTCACCAACCAACGTGTCAATGCATTCGCTGCTCCAAATACTTTTCAGTTTTAGCCCTACAACCAAAACACATATTTTGATTCTGACCCATACGTAGTGAACCGTACTGTAGAATGACTTCAACAAAGAGCCGCAAATGTTCGGTCTCCCCCCTTCCCCCCTTGCGAAACCACGCCTGACTGAGCTTAGAAAGATTGGTCTTCAGGCTCATCCGCTGGCCCAATGGGGCGCATCCTGACATGGTGATTTCAACAAAACAAAAACTGAGCTACAACCCCGAAGGTCACTGTACAGGTTCCCAAATTGTTGGCTCACTTGCCACACTTGCGGGATCCAGTTTTTGCGTCACAAGTCATGCTTGACTCTTCAAAGCACCACATTGGTGCTACTGGTACCTTAATCGCGAACGGTGCATCCTTTACGCCGCATAAGGATTAGTGCCAAAATGGGAGGATTGCCCAGCTCCACTGGGCAGCTCCCCTCAGCAGCTGATGGGAGTAGAATTGATGCCACTCCCACAGCGAGGGAGGAATCCTCCCACCTCACCGGATGCCCTCCCGGCATCATGGGTGAGGAAGGAAAGTAGCGAAGATCAGCTTGATCAATTCGCTTTCGACTGAGGGGAAGACCCGGTTCTCAGTCGGAAATTGCGGGTCCGGATGAGTAAGTTCATCCGCCCATGTGTTAAAGTCGCGCTTCACATGCGACGGTCCTAACATGACCTGGTGGTCATGCAGTGTTAACACAATTTCCATGAGGATGGCCGCATTGGGCATCCTGCGAGTGGAATCGTTAAGCAGGGAGAAAACGTTTCCCTGGTTATCACTAGCAACCAGAATCCTAGTGTGAGAAGCCGAGCCGGCTGCACAAAGCAGAACAGCCCTCACCAAAAGGAGGAGGCCGAAGAGCTCCAAGGCCGCTATCGCCCGCTGCGGGTCCCCAGTAGTGAAGGCCCACGGCTCGCCCTCCGGTGTGATTCTGTGTTGGAACCACTTCACTCGGGACTTGTCGGGGTTGGGCACGTCCGAGCACCAACCACCAACCCATGCATGGTCCGCCTGTTTGCCAGCTCCCGCATCAGATGCCCCCGTCCATGGAAGTGTGGGAGCAAATGGAGATGCCAGTGGGAACCTCTGGTTGAAGAGCTTCCCCAGAAGGATGGCCAGAGCACGAACCAGCTTCGGTGGCCTGCCCGAAGTGGTGCAGGCCTTCTTCCAGCTCCAAAAGGGCTGGAGGAAAGGTTTCGTCAATGGACACGCCGAAGTAGCCCATTGAATCCGGCCCAGGGCTTGTTCCACCTCCTTGCTGGTAAAGATGTCCCCCTGGGCCAACCGTTTGAGAGTGGCCAGGATTATGACGTGCTTGACTGGAGCCAGCAGCACACAGGGCGTGATGGGGTCCACCACGAATCCCAACCAGGTATTGACCGGGGAGAGCGCCGTCTTCAGGATGGCTGTGGCGTCCCAGTCCGCCCTGCTGCATCTGAGGACCCAGCAGTAGTCGTCCACAAAAACTAAGTGCCAGTCTACCTGAGGGAAGATGTAGTACAAGAGTCTGAGCACCAAGGATGCCTTTCTTCCCCAGTACAGTTGTGCCGAGGCCATGCCGTACGTGCCCACTCTATTGACCCACCACCGGTTCTGGATGCAGGCCACCTGGTATTTCCTTTGATGCGCCTGTGGGCCTTGGTGACATCCGCCTTGAGGATGATGAAGGTTTCCCCCTGTGTCGGCGGCTGCCACGTCAGGGGTTCCCCCCTGCTCCCCCCAGGGCATTCCGCGCCTGGGGGGGTTGGGGGGAATGGGGCCCTCCGATCAGGGCCCTCGGCACCTGGGGGTGGCCCCTTCCCTGAGGGTGTTGACCGCGGAGAGACGTCCAGGCCGCCTGAGGTCTCCATCATCCGCCTGCCCCTATCAGGGCCCTCGGCACCTGGGGGCGGGCTGGTGCTGTGGGGGGCCCTCTCAGGGCCCTCGGCACCTGGGGACTGCCCCTGCACCGACTGGCGAACATCCCGAGGTTCCTCATCAGTGCCCGAGGATGGGGCTCGGAGTAGATGAGGATGGTCCGCCGCTGTCCTGAGCCAATGGATGGCATGGAGGCAGTCTCCAACCATCGGTGCGGTGGTCTTCTCCTCCGTGTGAGCCTGGATGTGTGCGTTTGCTCCCCTTTTGAGCCATCATAGATCGTCCTGATCTTGTCCGACTCATCAATCCCTGCAAGGGGGCCCGGGCAAAGTTCCTCCGGTTTGCAGCGGCACCTCTCTGCCGCCTCAGAGCGAGTGAAGGGCCCGTCCACCATGTCCAAGGCTCGTTCCTCGTAAAAGGTTGATTCGATTTCCTTGGCAAAGAGTTCAGCCGTTGGGTAGTTATCATGAGCCACTGGCGGGGGGGGATCTTCCCCCAGCCAGGCTTCTCCCTTAAGCTCCTCCTTAGTGGGCCAAACTCCCGGGGAGGTCAAGGTAGGGTCCGAGACTCCCAAGGGGACCCCCTCTTTCAGTGTTAGGGGGAATTCCCAATCAGGGTCACCTGAAAGGGATGCCAAGTGCGACACCAAGTCCAGGAGGAAGGGTTGTCCTGGGCATCGTTCATGGAGGTGCCTCGGTCCTAGGATAGCCCGCAGCTCTTCGAGGTCGGCTTCCTGGAAGGGGTGTGTGGTGGCACCTGATGCCAGGGACATTCGGACCTTGTCAATCCAGGGACGGGTAAGGGTCATGATCAGGGCGCCCAAAGTAGCCAATGGGGAAATTCTCCGAAAAGGGGGGTTGAGCCTCCCTGGGGAAGGTTTTCCCCCCCCATCCCTCAGGGGGCGTGAGCGGAAGCCCAATTGGACAATCGCCGCCCGGTCAGTGAGGTGTGGGACCCTGAAGGCGGGCAGGCATTCGGGGCGGTCCAGGACCTGGTCCCCCTGTCCCTCCTTCCCCAGTTGTTCCGCATCTCCGGCCATCGGGGGCATGGGAGATGGGAAGTCTGGGTTCATTGTTCCACGAGGGCTTACGGTGTCTGCCTCAGGGTGGAACTGCCCGTGCAGGCGGGGCTTCGGGGCGTTCTTGCCTCCGGGCTTTGAGCCCTGGTGTGATGAGGAGGGACCGCCTCCTTGACTGGGCCCCCGATTTCCCCGGGGGGAATGGCCTTCCGGGGGGTCCGACCCCCGCCCCTTAGGTGGTCCCTTGGGGTTTCCCGGAAGTTGTGAGGGGATCCGGATGTGCCCCGGCGCTGCGAGTGACACAGCGATGGCTTTGGCCAGGCCTGCCATCATATCCCAAGGGTATCTGCTAAGAGTCGAGGACTCGTTGGTGCCCACATGTGACTGATGCGTGCACCGCATTTGATCCCAGTCCTGGATCGGGAGATCCGTGGCCAGCGTAGTGGCCTTCTTGACCAGCTGGCCCAGGCGGCACTGGTCGAAGGAGATTGCTGTCAAGGAGTTCTCCTCCATCCAAAGCTGCCCCTCCTCTGTGATCCAGAAGGATGAGCATTCCTTGGCTTTGGGCAGCGAGCTGCTCACCACTGGGTCCTCCGGGTGTTCCAGGAAGGACCTGGGCCCTGGCAGAGAAACCGCCGCTCGCGAGGCCCTTGCCAGGCTGGTGATGTACATCTGTCTCAGAATGAGGATGCTGTCATCATCGAGTTGAGTCTGGGCGGCCTGGTCCAGGTGTGGAAGGCCCCAGAGTGTCTCTGGAGTGCGCCCTCGCACCGGGGTGGGAGCCCCCGGTTTTGGTATGTGGCGCAGGATGGACCATGTCCTGCAGTTGGGTCCTCCTCCAATGAAGACCACTCGGCCCTGCTTTGCTGCCGTGCAAAGAGCTCCATACAGCTCGGGTTGGAGCATATCGTGGTCCCCCTTGGGTCCAGACCGTAGGATGTCTACCGCCACCACCATGCTGGAAAGGTGTGGGTAGTTGGCATGAAGACAGCTGTCCAAGGAAGTAGGGTCCTCCTTGCCTGCATAGAGCAGGACAATGATGGGCCCACTGGATGGAACTTTGGGCGATGTGCCCTGTGTCCATCTCAACCGCTGTACCAGACGCTCAGGGATGTTCTCCATCCACGGGAAGATATCCAATCCCGGTGACGGCTCCGTTGGACTTGTCAGGGGGGTAGCTGAAAGGCGTTGGCCCCCTTCATTCAGCCCCACCGAGCTCTTGTGGAAAACCACCGGGTCCTGCTTGATGATGTTGGGCGCCGGAAGTGGGATCGGCTGCTTCCTGGGAGTGTCCCTTGGCGTTGCGGTGTGCTGCCAGTCATCCGGCACTCGGGCCTTCTGGGTGCGGCCCCCCGTGTCAGGGCCCTCGGCACCTGCGGGGAACCGTCCCGTCCCCGCCATATCAGGGCCCTCGGCACCTGTGGCTCGGGACTGAGGCGCCGCCGTTGTGCCGGTTGTGTGGCTGTTCTGATCACGGCGAGGGCGTTGTGCACGCTGGTTCTGCCGTCCCCATCCTTGTTCCGCCGAGGATGGCCGCCACCTGGCCTGTCCCCCCCCTGTGTCAGGGCCCTCGGCACCTGCAGGAGGGGGCTTCTGTGCCTGCTTGGGGCGTTTGCGCCCCTTCTCGCCCCCCCGGGCCTTATCAGGGCCCTCGGCACCTGAGGCCTCCCGGGGGGTAGGGGTCAGCGCCCCTAGTCAACCCGGGCAGTCCTGCGGGAGGTGGTCCCCCAGGCAGATGCGGCCCATTGCCAGGATGAGGTTGCACTTGTGGGTGCGGCCGCAGTTGCCCGGGCAGCGCCCGCGCATCCAGTTGTTACAGAACTGGTTCCCTTTCGGGTCGGTGGCTGCCTGCTTGTTACCGCCCCGGGACGCCTGATTGTTCAGGTGGGGGGGCTTACCCTTCCCTTTTCCCAGGCTTGCCCTTGGACTTCCCCTTGCCCTTGGACTTGTTCTTGCCCTTCTGAGGTGGTGCGTAGTCCATGGATGTCCTGGTTGGTGGGCGGCCCCTGGAAAAGGGCTTGATCTTCTCGTAGACCTCACGTGTCCAGAACAATGTGTCCTGCCTGACCGACAGCATGGCCGCCTTGAGGGTGTTGCCCTCATGCATCTTCTCGTGAATCTTTCGCCATGCGTTGCGTTCGGCAATTGCCAGGACGTGGTCCTCTGGCGGGGGAAAACGGCCCCCGATGTCCTCACCATAGAACCACTCGTACCAGCTCTCCAAGTCCTCCCGGGTGATGTCGAACTGGCCGAACTGCGGGAACGAGAGGACGCACATGAGGAGGGTGTTGCGGAACACCGCGTGCATCCTC